TGCTGTTATGTTAAACTTATATTAAAGTTTTTCTTCATTACCCATTTAAGCCGTCTCCAGCCATTATATTTCAACAATTGTTTGTACAAACCTTCATTGATTATTCTCAAACAGTTTTATTTCCACGAATAAGGTTAGCATGTTCAGTGACAGGATTCAAACCTGGGGCCCACAGATTGTGAGTCTAACACCAGGCTATGCCACACCCATGAGTAAGGTAAAGCCAACTCTTGTTTTTTTTACTATAATGATACAATAATGTGCTTTTTTTTTACATTTGACAAGAATTACTAGAACAGGAAAGTGGAAAAATGTCTTACTAACTTCATAAAAATTGACAAATAAAAAACTGTACTGAAAAAAAAGGGACTTTTCTAAATGATATTGTAGATAATGCATTGCACATAAAGTAGTTTCACTGCAAAGCAAACACTGTGGAGAAATAACAGGTACATTATTATCTAAGTTAAACAAAACAACCCTACTCTAAACCAACACCCTGGGGTGCCAAGATATCTCTTCTAAGTCGTGCAACAATATCCAGTCATGTGACCTCTTTGTTCCATACTCAGTATATATATATCTGTCAGTGTAAACTACTTGTACCTGATGATGACAAAACCTTGTACATTTGCTGTTATGTTAAACTTATATTAAAGTTTTTTCATTACCCATTCAAGCCGTCTCCAAGCATTATTATCTAAATTTGTTTCTCATACATCGATATTTCATGTTCTAAACTGCTCAACCTGCATATTATTAAAGATCACCTTCACATATGTTTGTAGAAATGAGGTACCGGTTCATATGTAAGCCAAGTGAACAAGAGGGAACTTCTCAACAAGCTATTCAATCATGATGCTTCAATTAAACTAATCCCAGGATTTGACTTCAAACTTTGTTCAAAAACTTCTCATCATATTCTATTTATCTGCCAAAATATAGCATGCATGATTGGGAAAAATACAGAATATACATTCAGACTACTAACCACAAACAGTTATACAAGACTCGTAAACTGACAATTGACACAATTTTTTTCTATCCTATTAAACGCTGACAATGTTAAATTTATTTTAGAATTTTACGTAGATTAAGTCCTGTCTAACAGCAGTTCTGATACAAGTACCACATGTTATTACTAATATCAAATAACCACAAGACTTCCATGTACACTGTTACTTGCGATAAAACTTTTTAAAATTGTATACAAAAATATATTAATTGAGATTTACACAATAACAAAAGACACAGTTACAGTTGAGCAGCTTTAGACTTACCTACTATCTTCTATATCATCAAGTTGTTCTTTGACCTCTGAAGTAATGCGGTCTTTTCGAAAACTTCTTTTTAAAAGGTTTCCTACTACTCCCATTCCATACTCTCTTCTGTTCGAGTTATCAGATGCTTTACTTAGCACCTGGAACACATACAACAAAACATATACTTTTCAATTTGCTAGCAAGATGGCTTGCAAGTTTTAAAAAAATATTCCTCATGCATCCTAGACAGTTAAAGTTTAGCAAGGATCATTTTAAAGCTGATGTAACTGATACATATACACGTATAGATAAAAGTAAGGATCATTTTAAAGCTGATGTAACTGATACATATACACGTATAGATAAAAGGATCATTTTAAAGCTGATGTTACTGATACATATACATGTATAGATAAAAGTAAGGATCATTTTAAAGCTGATGTAACTGATACATATACACGTATAGATAAAAGGATCATTTTAAAGCTGATGTAACTGATACATATA